TCTGATTATAGTTATATTTTAAGTTGTTTTTGATCTAATTTGGTCTGATTTGACATGATTCCATTAAGAATAAAGGAGAACATGGTCTTAAATTCAATATTTTGTTCCATAATCTCGTGTTGATTGGCATGATATATGTATGATTGAATGAGTAGATGGGCATGTCTAGTGCACTAGACACCTTGTGTGGTCAGTCCTATGGAGCAAAGCAGTACCTTATGCTGGGCATACACATGCAGAGAGCAATGCTTGTGCTCCTACTTGTATGCATTCCTCTCTCAGTCGTGTGGCTGAGCACAGCCTCAATTTTGAAAGCATTAGGCCAGGAGCCAGACATTGCAGACGCAGCCGGTCATTACGCACAACTGATGACTCCGGCCCTTTTTGCTTATGGCCTTCTCCAATGTCTCGTGAGATTCTTGCAGACACAAAACATTGTAATCCCTATGGTGCTAACTTCCGGGATAGTCACAGTGATCCACACTCTGACTTGTTGGCTTCTTGTTTTCAAGTCTGGCCTTGGAAGCCGAGGGGCTGCCTTAGCTAATGCCATCTCCTATTGGTTGAATGTTCTGTTGTTAGCCCTCTACGTCATGTTTTCCCCTTCGTGTACCAAAACATGGACTGGGTTTTCAAAGGAAGCGCTAAAAAACATCCCGGTTTTCCTTAAGCTTGCAGTTCCATCTGCTATCATGGTCTGGTATGTTTTTTTGTTTCCCCTTACTATCTTGCTGTCTGATCATCGGAAATTTGAATTACTATATCTTACCTCAATCCAGATGTGCACACACTCAATGCCACTTCTAATTTGTAGCTTTCGTGATTATTAATTTTGCGTTTTTTTAATTCTAATCATTTTTCTCCTATCTAAATTAAAGAATGCCCATTTGCATATAAGGATTGCTCATTCAATGAATGATGTTTATTGATAGCTTGGAGATGTGGTCATTTGAAATGATGGTCCTGCTCTCTGGACTTCTCCCAAATCCAGAATTACAGACTTCAGTACTCTCAATCTGGTTCGAACATTATTGTACAATGAATCAATCTTACGACTTACAATTCCTTCCTTGAACACAAGTTCTTATTACGGCATGAGTGTGTTTTTTCCCTTTCTTGTCTCACAATGCAGCCTCAACACGTCAGCAACAGTTTGGACAATCTCCTTTGGGCTTGGAGCTGCTACAAGGTCAGTTCATGCTAGAAAAAAACATTAAACCAGCATTACATTTTCCCCAAGGTTGGTTTAAGAACTGCTGAAAATTAAAGAATGTGATGCAATGCAATGAAATGCAGCACTCGCGTGGGAAATGAACTGGGCGCGGGACATCCAGGGACAGCACAGCTAGCTGTGGGTGTTGCCATAGTATCTGCGGCTACGTTCTCAATTGTGACTGGTTCTTTTCTGGTGCTGGCTCGCAAAGCCTTGGGATACGCTTACAGCAGCACCCCTGAAGTGGTTGTCTATGTTTCTTCCATGTTGCCTATCGTCGCTGTGTCAAATTTCGTCGATGGGTTCATGACTGTGCTCTCAGGTTTGTTTGTTTTGGTTTGTTTTGTTTCCAATATTTCTTGAAATAGATAAATAAATAGATCTCTTTCAGTACATATGTGGTGGAATTTGTTGTTTAATAATTTAATTGGTAACATGTAATTTAGGGGCTATGAGAGGGTGTGGACTGCAAAAGATTGGAGCAATTGTCAATCTGGGATCATATTACATTGTGGGCATTCCTTTAGCTGTTTTGATGGCCTTTGTTTTTCACCTTGAAGGAAGGGTACGTAGTAAATGCCACCACCAATGCTTCCTGAATATCAGTTTTTTTTTGTTTTGTTTTAAATAATAATGGAAATATGATGTAGTTTTTATTCTATTTATTTTATTAATGTGCAAAATTTACACAGGGCCTGTGGTTTGGGATGATAAGTGCATTGCTAGTGCAAGTGGCTTCTCTTACTGGTATCCTGATCAGAACAAACTGGGAACAACAAGTAAAGTTCGCTTGCCAATTATTGCTTTATTTTTATAGCTTAATTGGGTTGACCTTTTTTACCAGTAGAAATCATTCTAAATAAGACTAAAACATAGACAAAAGTACCAAAATAAGACTTTCATGTTTTTTTTCCGAAATAGGACTTTGCACTGTGGTAATGTGACTTTGCCGTGTTGTAATGTGGCAGTGTACATGTGCAAATTACTAAATTTTTTTGGTAATGTATATGACCATGTATGGTAATGTAAGTCCTATTTCGAGAATAAAAACATGGAAGTCCTATTTTGGTATATTTTCAATGTTTTAGTCTTACTTTGGTCTTTCTCCCTTTTTACTATGCCGACATGATATCAACAAAGGAATTTTACCCCATGAAAATGAAGTCGGGTTCCCGTCTTTTTAGAGACCCTTTCCCCAAAAAAAAAAAAAGCAAAATTTCTCCCAATAAATTGAAATACTCCCCTCCATCTCATAACATATTTCACAATCCGAAAAGCGTATAAAATCTTATTACTTTTAAAATTATAATTATAAATTTACATTGAAAAAAGATTATAAATTATACCATTTAAAAGTGTGTATATGAAATTCTACAAAACAAATAGTGACAAAAATATTTTATTTTATAAAATTATTATTGAAAATATACAACAAAAGTTATGTAGAGACCGTCATAATAACAGTAGTACCCATTTTGGGACGTAGAAAGTAAATACTCCATCTATCTCAAAATAACTACGTTCTTCACTATTCAAAAGTCACAAAAACTTTTGTTTATTTTTTAGTTTTAATTGATTATTTGAAAAAATGAAGTATTCATGTTACTTTTTGTTTTCTAAAAATTTTTGACATAATTTTTAAATATATAAATTTATTTATAATTTCTATACAAATATTTATATAAAGTGAATTTAAAAAAAACTTTAATTTTCATTTCGTTTTACGTAAATGTAAAAATTTTAGAGGAGAAAGAATACAATAACATTAATGTATTTCATTGCTTGCACTTTATTATTAAGTAGCCCACTTTCACACAATGATACGAACAGTACCCGTATTTTCATATTTTGTCCCCACGGACATTTATTCATTTATTTTCTTGACCATTTGTACCTTTGTGGGACATCTCACACCTTTAATTGAAGCCATCAATGTCTTCGAACAAAAATTATTGTCAATAAATTGAGGTGTACAGTGGAGGTACAGTAGGGTGGTGAATAAAAGATCACTTCTTTTGGGCTATAGGCGAGCAAAAAATTGTCAAATTGTAAAGTGAACAAGGAAACATGGAAATCTAACTGAATTTGATTGAACAATGATACTTATAAAAAAGAAAAGAACTTGAGGTCTCTTAATTTAAATAGAAAACGTGACACTTCACAATTTGATTTGTGTTCAAACTCTTAACGACTTTTAATTGCAAGATTCTTACCCTAATAACATAAGTGACAATTAACTTTGAATTTTCTTACTTTCGCCTAGAACCTATTTATCTAGAAATAAGACTATTGATGTGTGACAATGTATCCAGTTTGACAATGTATATTAACATTCTATAGTATTTTTTGGATATTATATATTTGCATTATACCTTTATAAGTTCTATTTTATGAATAAAAATATGAATGTCCTATTTTATTTTTCTTGCTATTGTTTAGTTTTATTTTGTTCCTTTACCTTCGCCACGAGAGTTTCGAACACGAAAAAGTAGTCAAATACGCATTTGGAAGCATGTTTAAAATGACTGGTAAACAGTCTCGAAACCTAGTTAATTGGCTATTTTTGATCGGTTAGAAATCATGATTTTGTTCAGGTATTCTTGTTTTAACCTTCAAAATTGTTCGGAGTAGAATAATGAAACTCCTATTATTAGGTCTAGAGAATACAATATGCATAGAGAAGACAAATCTAGAAATTAAATATTATATACCGAATAATAACCCATGATTTCACATATTTGTTTTCGAGAACCATTGAAAAGACCTCATACTAATGCGTTTGATTAGTTGAACCTGTTTATATTGGTTTTTCTTCTCCAATGCTTTCGGTGTGGAACTAATGTTTGCTACACATGTACAATAACTAATCCACTTTCTTGCAGGCAAAAAATGCCAGCGAGAGGGTACTGAGCTGCAATCCCAATTGAGGTTGTTTCCTGATGCCTTCATGCATGATTCAAACCTCTTATTTATAAATAAAATGGAGAATAATTTTGCTACATTGTGCGATTATGGATTTGTGCTAGGAAATGTCATTGGGTACACAATAATCAAATTCATTGTATGACTATGATGATATATTTTCACCCGTTACAATACTTATATCTATTTGTCTTGTTATTGTTGTGTATCATGCATATGAGATATGATATATTACTACCAAAATATATTCCTTTTTGGAAATATGCTTTGAAGATATGTAATTGGCACGACCTAAAGTTTTTGCTAAAATAATGTCAAAGATACACCTAGCTTAAATGACAAAAATAATGCCGAATTGTGTTTGCCAATGCCAAAAACATTTTCTAATGCGAAAATAATACTTCTCAATCTCTAATGCACTGCAACAACCAAATAAAGTGAAGGCATGTGAGAGGGAGGGAAATGCCAAGCCATGGGAAGGTTTTGTCATGGTTGAATTGGATAAGCCATTGATTGGCAATTCGATACCGGCAAAAGAGGTCACACCTTTAATAACCTCCTTTAAAAAATTTAATTCTGATAGGGCCACTTCGTATATATAACTACCCACCACAAAGATCAACTACAAGACAATCAACTAAAATACTTCACCCAATTCACCACAAGCAAATCATCCAGAAACGGCGTTTCCTTCGGTGCCATTTTAAAAGTGATGGTTTTGGTGCCTTCCACAAGTGGACCAATGAGAGTTAAACATCTTCCACGTCATTTATTTTTTTTAATTACAATCTTGCCCCAAATCTATAATTAAATTTTTATTTGTTTGGATCCACCGTTTCTCACATCCTTTAACTGCATCCCTATAGCCATCTACAACATCTCCTCGTTTCTGCATCGCCGTCTCCCTCCATCCTCTCCATCGCCAGCGGTCTCTTTGCCGGAATCAAAAGCCGCCCGCTGCCGACGATCTCCGGCGTTGTCTTTCTCGGAACCAGAGTTAGAAGCGTCCTTCTGCAGACGACCTATCTTTCCCGTCCCTAGGTCAGATCTCATTCCAGGTTTTTTTTCTTCTATTTTTTCCATTACAAGAGAGATTCACATCATCTCAATTAAAAGGAATTATTAGGAGAGTCGTTAGTATTTGTAATCCAAAGTATTTTTTCATGTTCCAATCCTTGATTGTTCTTATTGTTTGCTTGATTTGCTCCATGACTTATCATTAGAAATTTTGAAGGATTTGAATCTGAATTATGTAGAGACTGAGCCACTCAATGTGTGGCTAATGGAACTGAACTGAGCTTTAAATTTGCCTGTCCTAAGTTCAAATGGATTGTTCAAGGAGAACCCTTTGAAACTGTGTGTGCTCTCACTGTCAAATATGTGGACTGATTCTTTGTAAATTTTATTCTGGCTGGTTACTTTTATAAATAAAAAAAGGACTAATCCTTATTGTGTCCCATAAAGAGTCCTCTTTCTGGACTTGTTTTTCCACAAAGCTGGAACAACAAGGTGTAAGGCTGGAACAACAAGGTGTAGTTACTGACATGTGCGAATTAAATGATGTTTGTGATCCAATTCTCGTAAAGACTAGTCGCTCTTCAAAAAGGAAAATGTCCAAGAAAAAAAATATGCATTGCTCTGCCTATAAGAATAAAAGTCACAGGATTACCACATGTCCTCTTTTGTTATCTATTGATGATGATGACAATATCTCTTTTTTTCATGACTCAAAAGATAATGTGATTTCCCTCTCTTCGCTGAGCCTTTTTTATTTTTTCATGTTTATTATGTGAGAGAATCAACTCCATATATTTTAATGATTATTTTAATAGGATGAAGAATCATTATTTAGTCAAAGCTACACAGAAAATGTGAAGCACGCAGATAAGAAGTCTATTCAGACCGAGGAAAGAAAGGTATATTTTATTGCTTTTTTAGTATTTGTAAGGTTTAAAGTTGCGCTATTTTCCTTACTTTATCATCTGTTACAGCCATTAAAGCGCAAGAGTGATAGATCCTCACGGAAGTTTTCGAATAATGAGATAAGAAATGCTACTGCTCGTGAAGATCCAGAAAAAATACTCCCAAAACAGGTCTTATCCTTTCCGTCAGTACACTCCATAAGTGCTTCCTCCGCACAACAATTGGCTCATATGTCTGTAAGCACAATTTACTTCATGCTTTTAATGAAATTTTATAAATATGCATACTGCTGATATTTGTGGCACTGAACCCTACTTCAATGACAACACGTACACTAGGGATTGGATATGATACCTCCCCACAATAACACGGCATTCAACATGTCTTCGTCACCTCATGGGTTTTATTCTACTCCAATGTATGGAGTAATTCCTACGTATCCGCACTTGCCTTCATCGTCAATTCTTCCAATGCATAATTCAATGGTAATGAGTTTTATGAGATCTTGTTTTATTTCTTCGTGGTTTTAATGTTTAGCTTTGCCTTTAGAAATTGATATTGTTTTAATTCCATGTTCATTAGAGTTATGGTGCTTTACTCCAGCAAGTAATGAATCCTATGAATCCTGGCAATTTTAGTGAGCATGTTGGATGTACTTCAGTCCAAAAGAATTTGGAGCAAAAATAATGAATTCTTAGATATTATCATTGAACACAGGTAAAATATTGTTACGTGTTTTGTTACCATTAAAGTAATTGGTGTGCTTTTTCCATTTTGTTCATTTTCCATTTTGTCCAGATATTCTTAGCATATCCACTGACAAAACATGTTCTTTTGAGGTGTTAATTCAATTTGCAAGGAGAATTTTATAGAATAAATAATCCAATAAATAATCCAATAGAGCACACAATCTGCCTTTGCTTATTTATCTCCACTCTGTTATCTGTTATTTTATACTCCGTATTTCTGTTTGGGTGGGGGTTCTTAAAATGCTGCTGCAAGCTTTCTTATCCTTGGTATTGATAAGCAGAATAGGCTGGGCAGAGGACACCGAGACAAACTTCAGCAATTTAGGGCAATAACCAGGGCTAGGTACTTATCCTCCAAAAGTATTAAATCTAATTTTCAAGTGTCATTTTCATAATCTTACTTTGCACCTGCTATTAGCTTCAACTCATTCTTCAAACCCAGAGGGAATTAATTTGCTTGGTTGGACTTTTTTAAGACTCATGAGATTTCTAATTGTCTAGCAATTGGATTTGATCATTTATCTCTCTGCCTCTACCTCTTGAGAGTCCCCTTGGCTATTTGTGGGATACTTTTTTATTGGTCCAGATGTACGTTAAAAATCCTGAAGCCAAACCCTACCATTGAATAACATTTTCAAAATGTTTAGGCTCACGGTGTTAGTTCCCTTGGCTAGTGTTCGATTTGATATGTATGCAGTTTTTTTCCTTCAAAGATTAAAAAAGTATTATGTACGAATATTTGTTTAATATCCAGCTTAAAGACATTTGCTGCGGGATATTTGTTTAAAGTTTTTTTTTTGCAGAACACGGAAGGAAGTATTTCGCCTGTTTCTTGATCATCAGTGGTGGAGGCTGAGCTATTGAAGACTGATTTCATAATTGGGTGAAAATATGATTTATTTTTATAACTGATTAATTACATACTTAAGCATTACAAACTATTTTATTATGTTACAGTTTCCTCCTGGTACACCCATTTAAGCATGAAACTTTACTAGACATTACCTTACAAATTCTTGGTATTTGTAGCCAATTTTTGTCCAGTTCTATGTTTGGTCTAATGTTGCTATAGTAAAAAATGCTTGATAGCAGAACATTGCCGTATTCAAATGTCAGATGATAACATGTTATGCACTTTATTCTTTTCCTCAACTTTCATTGCCAATTACTGTATTATTGTTTCTTCCTTGAATTTGGTATTATTTTTAAAAACATTTTCAAATATACATGTAAGGTGTAGAGTAAAATTTGTCTACTTTCTTCTTTTTGATATTATTAATTCTTTTCCCTAAATAATATCTAAAATTTGTAAACATGTAGAGTAAACTAATCTTCAAAAATGAAGTAATTTACCTACATCTTACGGAGTACTCCGTATTACTTTTGGTTTTTGAGTATTTTTCCAATTTTGTATTTTTTAGGTCAGTAATTTCCAACCTTTAACCTATAATTAAATAAAATATATATATTATATTAATTACATAAAATAATATTTTGAAAATGTTAGACATAATTAATTTAAAAAAACTATTTTTGTATCAATATCTAATATTCTTTTTTCAATTTGAGGTCAAAGCTCACGCACATGTAAAAGTGTAAGATTACTCCCCATTAGCTTTATCACTTTTTATTTTATAGAATTTTTATATAATTTTTAAAACTTTAATTTAAAAAAAAATATACTACATATCAAGTTGAAAAAAAATTAAGTTAAAAAAAATTAATTTGAAAACAAAATTAAGTTGAAAATAGAAATCTGATTAGATCTGAACTGATCCAATTGGAACTGATCTGATTAAATTAGTTCAGATGTAGTGTAATTCATTTAAAATTGGATTTAAATAAAACTTATAAATTAAAATAATCCCTCATTTCATGATCAGATCAGATCAAATCAGATTAGATATGATCAAATCAGATCCAATCAAATCAGATCAGATCAGATCCAATCGATCAGGCCAGATCAGATCAGATCCCATCAAGAATTATTATTATTATTATTATTATTATTATTATTATTATTATCATCATCATCATCATCATCATCATCATCATCATCATCATCATCATCATCATCATCATTATCATCATCATTATTCTAAAAAATGAAAAAGAATATACTCAAGAAACAAGGTAAATAAAAAACTGAGAAAATGCATTGACAATTTGAATCTAATTCTACTTTTAAAATACATTTTTATTGCTACTTGTAACTTGAGTTTCCAATGTTTTGATCTTTTATAATGATGAGATATTTTAATAAAAATACTATCTCTTCTATATATTGATTATCTAAATTTGATTAATTTTAAATGTATTTATAAATTAAATAGTTATTATAATGTATATATGAAGTAATTATTAAAATATTAAATTAATATTCTAATTTTAAAAAAATATTATAAAATAAAAAAATATTATTAAATTAGAATATGAATGATTATTCTTATATATGAATTAACTAATTTTATTTTATTAAAAAGTAATCATAAAATAAAAAATATTGATTATATTATAATATGAATTATCATTACAATTTTCAAACGTTATTATAAAGTCAAATTAAATTATAATTAATCAGATCACATCAGACGAGAACAGATCAGATCCAATTAGATCAGACCAGATCAGATCAAATCTAATCAGATTATATCAGATTCAATCAGTTCAGATCATATCAGATTCAATCAGATTAGATCAGACCAGATCAGAATTTAAAATCAGATCAGATCAGAAAAAATAAGTTGAACGGAACGGAGCCTAAGTTACACGGAATGGACCCTAAGCACGATCACTCCAAATCAGGTTAGACCATATCAGATCAAATGCAATCAAATCAAATCTGATAATGTCGAATAGGAACACAGTACTATCAATAAGATCAGATCTCATAACATGAAATATGAACTAATCGAATGAAATCAAATCAGATCTCATCTGATTTTTGACCTGATTCTGATGGTATTACATGTAATACGATTTAACTAGATCTGGATGTTATTACATATAATCCAATTTATTTAGATCTGATCTAATGTTATTAGATGTAATACGATATAATCCATTTTAATTAGATCTGATTTGATGTTATTATATGTAATACAATTTAATTAGATCTAATCTGATCCGATTGAATGTAATCTAATTCGATTACTTCAGATGTAGTGTACTTCAATTTAAATTTGATTTAAATAAAACTTATAAATAAACAAAATCCCACATTTCATGATGTGTGCAAAAAGTGACTGTAATCAAAACAAACATCAGATCCGACCATATCTGATCAAATGTAATTAAATCGAATCTGCTAAGGTCGAATTAGAGCGTAGTAGTATCAATAATTTCAATAAGATCAGATATCATCACATGAAATACGAACTAATCGACTAAAATGAGATCAGATCTCATTTGATCTTCATCCTAATCTGATCTAATTACATTGAATCTATCTGATATGCTTAAATCAAATCATAATTAATCAAATTAGATTCAATCAGATCAGATTATATCCAATAAGATCATACCAAATCAGATCCAATAAGATCAGATTAGATCAAATCTAATCTAATAAGATCAGTCCAGATCAGATCAAATCCAATAAGATCAGACCAGATCAGATCAGATCCCATCAAATTTGTTCAGATCAGATCTGATCAAATCAGATCAAACCAGATCAAATTAGAACTAAAAAAAATTAGATCAGATTGGAAAAGCTAAGTTGAATGGAATGGAGCCTTACTTATTTTTCGTATTTATTTATTTGTTATATTTATTTTAATTGTTTTTCTTAAGGAAAAACTAATATTTTAAAAATAAAAAGAAATTGAAGTACAAAGTAATTTTAAAAAATTGAAAGAAAATGTTTTATAAAAAAACAAAAAAATTCATAATTAGAATCAAGACTAACATTAGAATTATGGTTCTAATATTATTTTTTGGCTGTACTTGAATATACTCCGTAAAGAGTTATTATATAAATGTTTGAAATTATACTAACAAGAAAGGCAAGTTATAAAATTGGAAAGCGTAAGGTTTTATTAAAATTGTATATTACATGTGAATACCGTGTCAAATTAATTATAGTAATTAAATTAGCGTGTAAAATTAATTATAGTAATTGGATATTATTTATCGTGTCAAATTAATATAATCTTTATATTATATTTTGTCTCATTTTTTATCATTAAAAAATGATTTGAATTTAATAACAAAAAATGACATGTGCAACGCACTAGTGTGATAATAGTTTTGTTTAACTTTTCCTTATTATTATTATTACTTTTTTTATTAGTTCACAAGTCAAAAAATTAGGAATAAAGGTAACACACAAAATTACGAATCAAGATTATAATAGAATTAGGATTCTAATTGTTTTTGGACGGCAGATTTTACTTAATTATACTCCTTACGCATCCCCAGCCCTAATCCAGCTTTCCCGACGCCAGTTCAGCGCAAATCGGCAGATTTTATATTGAATCACCAGACTTATACGGAGTATAAGATGTTTGTTACATTTTTATTTTACTTATTCTGCTAAACTCTTATACTTTATGAATGAGGGTCATACTTTTGAGCACTGTTTATTAACCTTTTTGCATTCAAAGTGGTGTTTATTTCTTGCATATGTGTTCTGCATTCTGCTTTTAAACATCATTTTGTTTTCTTCTATATTGTTCGAATTTCTAAAAGATCCGTCGTGTTTGCTTTTCTTTTATATTCAAATTTATATTTTATGGTTTCAAAATCAGAAACATGTTTCGGAAGACAAAGATAACACTATATTCCAATTCCTAATCATGCCCAAAACCATAACCATGACCATAACCATTTGTTTTTGTTTTCTATAACTGAACACAGAAACACAGCTATGTATTAAAGAATCCAACACATTATCTTACTCCAAACATATTCCAACACAGTAATTATGTTTTCAAAAAGGTGAAGAAAAAATACAAAAAACAGGTTAAAACATGTATACCATGAACCGAACATAGAATTTACTACTGTATAATGAATGATTGTGATGCAAGTAGCAGAGTGGGGAAGGATGAGCATGTGTGATGCAGAAAGGCGGCTTCTTGCTAATGCGTTACTTGACATATCAAACGAATGGTTTGTCCTCCAGGCATGCATTCCTCTTCAGAACTTCAGCATTGTTTATCACTACATATCAAGATCCAGATACAGCTTCATGGGTGTTGTTGATGACCAAGGATATTATGGGAGAGGGCGTTACAATGCAAAAATGTCACCCACGGTTAACCTAACCGATTGGCGTAAAGGGTCCCAATGGCTTGAAGTAAACAGAAAGTTGGTCGTTGACATCATCAAAGATGAGGTTTACTACCCCAAGTTTGAGCAGTTCTGCAGGCCGGCTTGTTATGTGGATGAACACTACTTCCCCACCATGCTGAGCATGGAGTCTCCTGGCCTTCTTGCGAACTGGAGTCTGACATGGGTCGATTGGTCAAGGGGCGGGCCTCACCACACTACATATGGCAAGTGTGACATTACTGATCAACTGTTCAAGAAGATATCTGACAAGACATGCTTTTACAACAAAATAGACAGAGACAACATGAAGTATTTATCATACTTCAACCAAGACATCAAACAGTGAATTTAGCTTAAGATTCGACCCAAAGACAACTACTGATTTCTCAGAGATTACTTTTTTCCAAAGAAAAATTAGAATACAAGTGCAGTGCTGTAAACATCTACACTAGAAAGATATGCACATAAAAATGGAATGTCTTTCAAGAAACTGCATATATCTTTCTCTACACATGAAGGCCACCGGGTGCTTATAAATGTTATACCAACATATCCATCTCATACTTGAATAAAGATCATCAGAAAGAGCATTAGTGCATGCTCCAAGTTTTTTCAGAAGGGCATTCTTTTATTATCTACGGAGTAATTCAAAAGGACAGTAGGTATGTTTCACGAAATAAGGCCTGCCTGAGCTATTGATCTAATTTGAAAGACAATCACTACACAGAGTGATCTAGATAAGGATGAGTGAAGTTGCAACCAAAATGCATCAAATGTTCAAAGCATAAAATAAAATTGAATTGCATATAGCACATAAAAACATACGGCAGGCACAAAGATACTGACAATTGCAAATCTGTCCCATACCCAAGTTGTGAAAGAGATCGATTGATGTTCCCTGCTTCCTTCAATCTCTCTCCAGCTGCACCAGTAAGCTTTTGACGCTCAGATCCAGCAAGATCAACAAGATTTATTCTGCTTGTCTTCCAGCTGCATGATCCATCCGCCTTGCTCTATCAATTGAAACGACGGGTTGGGTTGCCCAGCGAGTGACCGGGAAAGCTATATGAAAAAGGAGAATATGGACTTTACATAATCATAAATCATCATAATCTAGATTCAGTAAATTCAACTTCATCGTAAGTGAAAAGAAATGTATAATACCGAAAAACAAATAAACAAAAAACAAAGTTTCTGCACATTGAAACAATTTTCACTTCAAACTTTACATCAATCAATAGGGCAACATGCTGTAAGAGGGAACCAATTGGAATATGAATCATTGAATCCTCCCTCCCTCCCTCTCATTGAATGGGAAAACATCTAAAATCCACGTGGAATGATCAAGGTATCCAGCACCTGCAGACAAACTAGTTTTCCGGTCGTTCAAACCATTGAATCCCTACGAGTTTGACTCGTGTGGCCCACCGTTTTGGCACAGTCAGCCCAGTCTTAGGAACACGAATGTTAGACAAATTGATAGTTTGTTTATTTTACTTCATCAGCTATTGAACATACTTTTACTTCTTTTACTTACTCCATGCAAAAAACTGAAGCTTTTTCCATTTTGTCAACCTGTTCCATTTTGTTTCTCCCTCCCTCCCTCCAACTCTCTCATTCACAGATACACAGTCACACACATACATATATACATACACTCCGTGTGTGTGATATGTATGTATTTATGCGTATGTGTGTTGTTCTTTCTTTTCTTTATATAATCCATTTGTATTTGTGTTTTTTTCATGTTCTCCTGTCTTCTTTATCTTCTTTTTTCCAGGAATGCTACACTGAGGGGTCTGGTGGTTAGCTCGACAGGGGCAACCTTGGCAACCCAATCCATTCCAAGAACCATGTCACAACCACCCACCCTCAGTAGCCTCATGTCCATCTCAAAGGGTTCTCCTTGAACAGTCCATTTGAACTTGGGGCAGGCAAATTTAAAGCTCAGTCCAGTTCCATTAGCCACACATTGAGTGGCTCAGTCTTTTGCAGTCCCTGCAATACCAATCGCTGCACTAAGGGAGGTCACATGTAATTTTGGGAGTGCTGCTTTAATTGGGGAAGATTCGTATGGAAGAGTGTATTATGGAGAACTTATAATTGGGAGGGCTGCTGCAATTCTAAATTTCGATTCAAACAGACAACCCGAGGAGGGATTCTTGGCAGAGAAACTTTCTAATTAATGATAATTCATGGAGTAGATCAAGCAAACAATAAGAACAAATCAAGGATTGGAAAATAAAAAAACACTTTGGAACACAATTACTAAGAAGTCTCCTAATAATTCCTTTTAATAGAGAGAATAGAATTATGTGTATCTCTCTTGTAATGGAAAAATAGAAGTAAAAAAACCTGGAGGAGGGAGACGATGTTGCTGGAGCAGAGACGGCAGAGACAGGTCGGCATCCGACGGCGTCTGATTCCCACAAAAGAGAACACTGATGTTGGGGGGAGAAGATGTTGCTGGAGCCGATGCAGAGACGGAGATGTAGGAGACGGCGCTGATAGAAGTTAACGGAAGGCAGAGGGACGCTTCTAACTCTGGTTCTGAGAAAGACAACGCCGGAGATCGTCGGCAGCGGGCGGCTTTTGATTCCGGCAAAGAGACCGCTGGCGATGGAGAGGATGGAGGGAGACGGCGATGCAGAAACGAGGAGATGTTGTAGACGGCGCTAGGGATGCAGTCAACGGATGTGAGAAACCGTGGATCCAAACAAATAAAAATTTAATTATAGATTTGGGGCTGAATTATAATTAAATAAAATAAATGACGTGGAAGATGTTTAACTCTCATTGGTCCACTTGTGGAGGGCACCAAAACCATCACTTTGAAAATGGCACGGAAGGAAACGCCTCCAGAAACTCATGAAAGACATAACCAACAACTCATAGAAAACCACAAGCAACCATAAAGTAAAGATGTAAGCTATTAAGAAAACAAAACAGAATAATTGTATTGAACTTAATTAATCACAAGAGAATACAAGGGAGAGTATTTGTGAATGGGTATACGAACCCAACTAGGACTAGGAAAACTAAACAGAAGTTGACTAAAACACAAAGTCTACTATAATTAATATTGACTGTAAATAAGTGTCTAACATCCCTCCTTAAGCTGAACGTCGAGTCACGAAAGAAAACTTGGAAGCAAGAGCCTGAAATTGCAACTTTGCTAACGGCTTGGTTAGTAAATTAGCAAGTTGATCATCAGAGAAAACATGAGAAATAGTAATAGTAGTCATAGTACTTACAATAACTTATTCACGAACAAAGTGGCAATGAGTACCTACATGCTTCATACGCTTATGAATGACTGGAACCTCCGGTACTGGAACCTCTGGTTAGTCCCTTCTGTTCCTGCTGAAGACAGTGACTCCTGAAAATGATGAGGTTAGCATATAAATATGCTTTAATGATTCTTAACCAATAGACACGGTGGTCTAAGTAGAGTAATCAGGATACTCTTAAAGAATCACCTATATAAGAGTGAAGTGTGGTCGCTTCAAACGGAGGATCTTGGGCTTAATCCTCTAAACACTCTCACAAAACCAAGCGCGTGTCCCACAACCAAAATGGGCATAACCATGATAACGGAAAGACGTTTGGTTGGGATCTGTGTATGGTATACTATCGTTTACACAAACGGACATACCGTTCAAAGACATCATTTCTACTGAACAGCCAGTAAAGAAGGTATACCTTACAAGGGACAGGTTCAAAAGTGGAGACACTTACCTGTTCAATGCAGGTTTTCAATCGTGGGATTTTGTTGACCCCTAAATCAATTTTTTCATTCATGTGGGGGATTATTGGAATTTTTGGCATTTTAATAGGCATTTAATGTACCAACTTTGGACATAATTATCAATAGGTCTACTAACAGTTTTAACCGTAAATTAATGGACATGTGTTCTCTTAAAAAGAGATAAATAAATATTTTGATATATTATACGCCAAAAATGGCAGAAGGGTGAATGAGAAATTGATTCTCAAAATTGACCCGCTAAAAATAGAAGGGTATGGTTGATGCCTGCACATGCATATTTTTATTGAACCAATCTTCTATTACTTTTACGTAATTTTAAAATTAGTCTATTTTTACAAAGTTAACTGTGTTAGAATAAGTGACTAACGCTAGAGGGGGGGTGAATAGCGTTTGATCGTAGAAATCGTAGGAATAAAAAATTAAGAACGTGAAAAGTAAAGAGCGTAGAAAGCATAAAGGGAGCACACCAAGATTTATACTGGTTCACCACAACGTGTGGCTAATCCAGTCTCCCGAGAGACTCTCTCGAGCTACACTACTTCCGTTAAGCTTACGGGTGCTTAACAAACCGTTACAACCTGAGAACTCGAGTCCCACGAGCCTCAACAACCTTGCTCGGAGATACCGCACTCCAAGACTTCAACCCGAAGGAAAATACCTTTCCTTCGTACAACCAAGGGAAACAAGCTTCCCTTAACGTGTATACAACACTAAGACACTCAAGAACAAGACTCTCCTTAAGAGTAGATATTGAGTAAACTATGTACACTCAAGAACAACTCAAACTTCACAAATTGGCTCTAGAAAGCTATGAAAAATGATGTTGTTTGAATGCAATGATAATATGAATATTGTGAAGCGAATTTTGTGTGTAAAGCAGACCCAAACACCCCTTTTTATAGTGCCAAAAAAGGCTCCAACGGACCAATGCATTAAAGGGGTGATTAGCTTGATTAATGGGATTGAAAAGATTTGGGATCCGCAGAATATTGGCTTCCCATCGATGTTTAGGA